CTTGTGGTTATTTGGGGTAATAAAATAAAACCAGACTTTTCTCAAAGCCACTGAGAGTTATTTTCTATGGAGTCTGCCACTGCCAAGTATAAACACCGATGCGGTCTACAGGTTTCTAAAGTCTCCCCACACAGAAACCTGACAAGATGTAAATTTCAAGCAAGGAGACCCACAGCTTTCAGTGTAAACACAAAATTGTATCAACAGTGGAAAGGCTCACCTCCAGTTCATTCAGGCGCTGAATTCGTGGAGTGAAACGAAAACTTTGTACTTCACAGGCAAATGGAGGCTGCCAATCCTAAGGAGAGACAGAAAGACATTTCAGTGTTTCAAGAAACTTCACTAAAAATGCACAAAAGGCCTTAGTAACTTGGTCATTCCCCCAGTAAATGAGTTTCAGCAGGATTTGTAATATTTTCCAGTTTTACGCTATTATCACGCTTCTAAAATGTTCTCACAACATTTCAGTCAGATGAAAGAAGTCTTCACAAAGTTAGAAATAAACAAGAAAATAAGGCTTGATGCATTTCAGCATGCCCCATTTCACACTGGGCTCTCACTTGAGAAAGAGACCGTGCTGCTTGTTGGCATTTATTCAAAGACGTTAAGTTCTGTATTTCCTGCACATTGCAAAACTGTCACTATCAACAGTGATAAACACCAAATAACATACAATATTATGCACGTAACTTTTCTATGTTTGCCTACATCCATATTTCAATAAAGACAATAACAGCAGTCAGGAGTCCGACACTCCAACGGAAGTGCAGTCCTAAATAATGACTTTCTGAACAGTCAGTACTTGGTTCAATCACACAGACCCAATCACACATGCCTCCCAGATCCATCTCCTCTCTCTAAACCACACTATGACATCAAAACAAGTACAGATCAGCTTTTTAAGTACCTCTTAAGAAATCTTAAAAATACAGTAGGTAGTCTACCAGGCAGTAAATACAACAGAGGAAGGACACAACATTACAGATGGACAAAAAAAGCAACACATTTGTTGTATGAATGGCTGCAGCATCTGAAGGCCTGAAGCACAACTGTAAAATCAGATTCTAATAATGGAAAAGGATTAGAATCAGCAAGGTTAGCACCAGGTGCCTCATTTAGTCCTTTTTTGCAGATCGCAAACCAACCTGATGCACACATCTGGCAAGGCCCTGCAACACCAATGGCCAAACAATCACAGAGAAACACTGCAGTCTTCATTGGCTAGGAAAGTTCTAGGTGCTCTCAATGAATCAGATCTGGATCAGTTTCCTATGACCTCTCCCCCAACCTAAGCCATTCTGCTTATTTTAGAAAGGGCAGCCTCTTGGATGTCAAGATTTCACCACGACATTAAACCACCTAAAAAGACTCCAGCAACCCTGTGGGTCAGGAAAGGAAGGATCATAGAATCTAATTGGCAGTCGTCATATCCAGGCTACTCTTAGCTCCTTGTTTTCATGTTCTTTTTCTCTCTCCTTTGCTATTTTTCACTCTCCTTTTTTATAGTTTTGTTTGTACTTAATTACAAAAAAGGCTCTGAGCTCCTACACTGCATGATGATCTTGTCTGAATGGTCACAGAGCAAGGCATCATAAAACACCTCCAATGGCCTGGTGGGGAAAGGGGTGTTCAGCTCCAACCTTCTAACCTGCTAACACAAACACTAAACTCCTGCGCACAACCGGACTGGCCGCGCTTCCACCAACAGTCTGAAGGCTGTTTACAAACAATGGCCCCTTTACAAGGCACGTCCTTCCTCCTCCCCCTCCTTACAGTGCAAATGCCTACTTTCAGCTACAACGCGCTGCAGCTTCCCAACACATCGCTTGTTGGTTATTACACCAAGAAGAGCGTCAAGCCCGGGCCCTGGCCTTGCCTACAGGCTTCTCACCCGCTCCAAAACCACTTCTAAGCTCAAGGACCGCCGCATAGGGTCTCTGCGTCATTGGCGTAGCCTGAGGAAGGGGACAAACGGAACCCCAGCAACCGGGGCACGGCAACTGAACAGTCCCAGGGGGGTCCCAACCGCAGCGAGTACCACAAACTCGGCCGGAAACACCCGAGGAGCGAAGGAAGGGGCTCCCGACCCCGGTGGCCGCCCAGGAACAGAGCCCGTTAGCTCCAGCCACCCGCCGCGCCCCAGAGCCGCCGGCTTCCCCGGGCCCCGGCTGCGGCCGCATCCCGCCCTGCCCCCGCGCCAGGCGGGCGGTACCTTGGGGGGCCGGATCTTGCAGATGCCGGTTTTCTCGGCCAAGCCGCGGATGCGGCCGATGAAACCGAGCGGGTCGCTGAACTCCTCCCAGCTGGGCTCAAATACGGGGCACTCGGGCGGGGGCACGAACTCGGCCGCGTAGCGCGACCCGCCGCCCCCCGCCATGGCCGAAGGGGGGGAAGGCGCTGCCGGCAGCGGGGAGCGGGAGGGGGGCGGGGAGCGCACCGAGGCACGGGCACAGAGGGGCGGCCCTCAGGGGCGGCCGGTGGGGCAGGGCCGACGGCCGAGGCGCATCCTCCGGCGGCCGGAGCCAGGCAGAGGCAGGGCAGGGCCGGACAGGACAGGCCGGGGCGGGGCAGGGGGGGGAGGAAGGGGGGGGCGGCGCGGCCTGCTGGCACGCGGGGCGGCTCCTGCCGGGTGTCGTCGCCCCGTCCCCCGGGGCTACCTCCCCCCGCGCCGAGCCCCTCTGGCTCGCGTTCCAGCTCGTCCGGAAGTTACGCGGTCGCTTTCAGCCCTCCCCCGGAAGCGGGCGCAGTTGTTGTCTTCCGATCCGAAAAATAGTCCCTCCGCCGCGCTAGTCTCCAGGCGGCCACCAGCGCCGTGGGAACGGCCGCCCGCAGTCCCCGCCCGCTCGCGGGGACGCTGCTCCGGAGAAACCGAGAAGAAAAGCGCTCGGCCCGGCACTTCTAGAGGAATCGTGCGGCGTGGCGCCGGGGGCGGCCGGGGGAGGGGAACTGGGGTCGAGGGGGGAAGGGGTCCGCCTCCACTTCCGGCGCGGAGGAATGTGCGACGATACTGGGACCATTCACTTCCGGTGCTGAAGGGCCGTTTCGCCCATTGTCTGAGCAGGACGTCAGGAGGAAGGCTGAGAGCCCCGCCCCCTTGCAGGCCCGGCCCCTCGCGGCCGTTGGGCCCTCGGGAGGGGGAGGGGCGGACCCCTTTCCTTTTGGTGGCTCCGTGCTATGCCCTGTTTGGGAGCAGTGTGTTGGTTTTTGTCCGTAGCCATTAAAAACACGCTCTTTGAAAGGGAACTCTCTGTTTATTCTCGTTGCTTAATACTCAGTCACTGTACCGTTTCAGGCCCAGAGAAAGTAATTTCCTCCTGCTCCCTCCAGGCTCACCATGTCTGCGTCAGGCAAATTAACGCGCTTCCATCAGCAGCGTTTCCCTGCTAGATTGAGGAGGTGGTGCCCCCATTTTACAGACAGGAAAGAAATGGCTTGGAAGCAAATGGTCAGTTTTGACAAAATTGATAAGAACAAACCGATCTTGTGAAACGTGGAATGAGCCTACCAGCGAATACTGTGCTGTGGCAATGTCTCACTACGTTTCTGCAGGGGGCTCTGGACGTGGATGATGGATATTTTTATGACTAGGAGCATGTGGAGTGCAGATGTTAGCCCACCAGCTACTAGAAATTGTGTTTCTACATAACCCTGGCTTTTTTTTTTTTTTTTTTTTTCATCTCTCTGAAGAGCAATACCAGGTTATTTTTGCATGGAGACTGCTCCCAAAAACTGAATCGCCAACATACTCCATTTCCAAGATAAGCAGTGACTCAGCCAAGAATACTATGTGGAAAAAAACTGCATGCTAAAAAGCTCCAAACCCATGCCAAACTTTCATTGTAGGAACAGCCCATTGTTTTCCTTCCAGGCTGTTCAAAGTTCATTTCTGTGTTTTGGTGAGAGGGTTTCAGAAGGTACTGATAGGAAGAGTCCAGGAAGATTTGGGAAAAGCTTGTTTTTTATATCTTCATTAGTGATCTGGGAGAAGGGATAGACCCCACCCTCTACAAGTTTGCTAATGATACAAAGCTGAAAGGAGTAGCTGACAAAGCAGAATGCTGTGCTGTTATTCAACAAGACCTGGACAGGCTGGAAAGTTGGGTAGAGAGGAGGAACCTGATGAGGTTCTACAAGTGCAGGTGAAGAGTCTTGCACATGGGGAGTTAATAACTGCATGCACCAGTACAGGTTAGGGGCTGAGCTGCTGATAGAGGAGCTCTGTGGAAGAGGACCTGGGTGTCCTGATGGACAACTAATTGACCGTGAGACAGCAGTGTGCCCTTGTGGCCCAGAAGGCCAGTGGTATCAAGGGATGCATTAAAAAGGGCATGGCCAACAGGTCGAGGAAGGTGATCCTCCCTTCTACTCTGCCCTGGTGGCAAAGTATTATTGTGTTCATTTCTGAATGACTTTCATCTGAAGTATTGTGTTCAATTCTGGGCTCCCCAGTCCAAAAAAAATAGGGAACATCTAGCAAGAGTCCAAAAGAGGGACACAAAGACTATGAGTGGTCTGGTATATCCCTTGTACAAGGAAAGGCTGAGAGACCTGGGACTCTCCAGTCTGGAGAAGACAGGGAGTATCTCATCGCTGTTTATAAAAAATATCTGAAGTGTGGGAATCAAATGGATGGAGCCAAACTCTTTTCAGTGGTGTGCAGTGACAGAACAAGGTGCACAAACTGAAACACAGCAAGTGCCATAATAATGCAAGGAGGAATTTCTTTACTGCGAGAGTGACAGAGCACTGGAACAGGCTGCTCAGAGAGGTTCTGGAGTCTCCTTCTCTGGAGGTATTCAAGACCCATCCAGATGCATTCCTGTAGGGAACTTCTCTGTAGGAGAGGAGAATTACACCTCTCATATGGAATGTTCAGCTGCTTTACATGAGGTGGGGAGCACAGCCTGTGCTAGCCTTCATCCAGAGAATTATCCACCACCATCTTGCTGTCTTCTGAGTTTTTTAAGAAAATTGGTTCAAAAAAGAACTTCATAGCTTTGGAAGTAAGCCTAGGTTTGTTTTCTAGCACACGTGGTACCTATATTAGGGAGTGCTGCATTGCGTCAATGATAAGAAGCGCTGCTGGGTATGGGGAGATACGTGGGGGAAGGAAGAGGATGAAAAGCAATGAAATGATGTAAAATAATACATCTGGATATTCAGGTGTTATTTGAAACAGAGAATCTTGGGACTGGTTCCTAACTCCTGTGCGTCATTCTGTTTATTATTTCCGTAGGAGAACGGCATGCTTTTGCCACTACTGTTCACGCAGTAAGTCCTGGCAGCAGGCTGTCGTCGTTTTCACCGGAACCCAAACCACAGCCCCACAAACGAACACCACACCCCCAGCTGGAGCTGCGCGCTCTCCCCGCCCCAACGCTCGCCGCGCACGCGCAGCGCTCCCTTCCAAGACTACAACTCCCAGAGGCGCCAGCGCGGGACGCGTGCTGTCCGTGTCGCGAGTGCCGATTGGTAGAGACGGCCCGATGCGCGAGGAAGGCTGCTCGTGATTGGCGGAGGAGGCGGGCGGCGGGTCTGTCCGCTATTTGAGTGGAGGAGGGTAAGAAGCGGCGGTCTCCATGAGCGCAACGGGCGGCTCGGCGGGGCGCTCCAGAAGGTACTGTGGGGGCTGTTCTTTCTGCAAGCGTGTTGTTAAACGGGGGAATAGTCCCTCCACGAAGTATCTTTTTGCTAATGGTTATTAGTGTGCTAGAGTGGTAGGAATTAATGACACGTATGAGGTTTTCGTGAATGTTGTGCATCTGAGTTGTGACCCGAGCAGCCCTGCTGAGCCGCACATAACGCGTCCCTGTGTCACCTGTGAGCAGAGTCCTGGCTCTGGTTTGGGCTTCTGGAGTGAGTTCTCACTAAGGTGAATAGATCTCTTCTATAGAGATCTTAACTTTAATTCTGTTGCAGATGATGCTATTAAAGGATGTTTTCAGTAAGTAACTAACTCTTCCCAAGGATTGAATGGTGTGTGCGGCTCTATGTATGCAAACGTGGTGCTTGTTGCAGCAGGCTGAATGTCTGAATGCAGTAAATGCTGCTTAAAGCTGGATATGTGATTACACATACGTATCCTTGATTCAATTTATGTAATAAGTTCAAGAAATCATGGCTTTCCATTTCATTGTCAAGGTTAACTCACAGTTAACACCAGAAAAAAAACCACGTGGACTCCTCATCCTACATCCAAAGTTTGGGCTTCAACTAACCTGAAATTGTCATCTTTCCTGAAAAGTCAGTGAAATCAAAAACACTTCAGATAGTGTTTTTCTCTCCATATACCAGATGGAGACTATGAAAGGTTGTCTGTTTATCTTGTAGTGGTTGCTACCTGTAATTGTAAAACAAAAGACTTTGTCTTCCTTGATCTCTCTTCTCCTCCTTTATTTACCACCTTCTCTTTCTTTCAAATTCGCCTATATGAGCCACGAGACTTCCCTTCCCTGACAACTTGTCCTTCTCCCTTTTCCATAAGTTTCCCCCATATCCTGTACCCTAAATCTGCCAACTGTTCTTTAATGAATGAAGCTTTTGGTTCTATTAAGTACTGTTTTTTTTTCTGATGATTCTTGGAGTGCAGACAAGCTAACGTGTTTACGTTTTAGAAAATTAAAAGCAAAAATATTTTGCTTAAAATTGGTTTATAGTTTGAAGCTTGCATGCTATTAAAAAATGTAATGGTATCTGCTGAGTTACAGCCTGAACCACTGATTGAGCACCTGGAGAAAGGACCCAGTGAGCCCTGGGAGCACAGGTGAAGGCGGTTCACCTGTATGACCAGAAGGGTGGAGCCTGGCTGCACCTCTAGACCTCATTTAAGGGCTGACTGTTACTGGGGAAGGATCTCTGGTTAGAGTTCTCTCCCTTGTGGAGTTTTCCTTGCGAGCCTAGATCTTTGGAGACAAGCGAGCACTTTTTCCTTTGTAACACCATTCTATTCATACTAGTCCTTTTGCTACTACACTGCTGTATTGCCCTTCCACTGCACTGACCTTTGTGATTGTAATAGAAAATATATGTATATTTACGTTTAGGCTGGCAACCCCCCACAGCTCATCCAAGTACTCTAGTTCTCAGCCTCAGAGTCAGGGGGACTCTACTCCTCTCCCTTCAATCAATGAACGCCTGGCCTTCCTCCGCCCTTCCCGGGAGCTGCTGGAATACTACCGCAAGAAGATTGCCGACTTTGATGAGGAACACGAGGATTTGGTAAAAAGGTTGGAGAGATACAAAGAAACATATGATGAGCAGGTTAGGAAAAGAGCTTTATTTGATTTAAAAAAAAAAAAAAAAACTCCAAAATTTGAAAATGTTTTCATTTGAGAAGGGGCTTCCTTTAACTTTGTTTTTCTCTTATACCTTAATAAGATACATCTGTCTGTCATCTTGTTTTGATTAACCCTCTGGGAGTAGAATGGTCACTTGTGAGTGCCTCCCCAAGTACTGATGATGTCTGAAGTGGCCTGAAAGCCCTCAGACATCCCAACTAATTTAATATATAGGGAAAAGAGAGGATTGGTTCTAAAATAGTGTCATCTGTCCAATGGGGATAGTCTTCTGAAGGGATTGCTAGTTTTCTGCACTAGGTAGAAAATCATTAATGAAACTTTATAACTGAACACTTTTTTCACTACTAAGTTGTATAAAGCTTTTAATATTTATCCTTCAGTAACTTCTTTAAAAGAATTTTATTTGCTAGGGTTTTTTCTGAAGTCACTCCTTTTACTTACACCACTCTGCCCATTGGTGCAGAAGTGAAACCATTGGAAATGGAAGACCCTAACATAAGTCTTTTTACTGGTGTTGTAGGGTGACAGTGACAACAGAGACACTGAGCTCCCTATTGAAACCTACTTAATAATTTCTCAATACTACCCTCATCTGGTCAAGTGTCTTAAGAGGAGAACATAATTCACTCAAGCTGACAGTTTAACACACCACTTACAGACACAGGGTCTGGCCTATGTGGTGTGTTGTTTCTAACTGTTGCCCAGTGCTCACTGAAAGTACCTTCCTTCTCTTTAACTAGCACAAACTGCAATGGGAAGTACGTCAGCGAGAAGAGGAGATTGCAGAGTTGCAAAAGGCTTTGAGTGACATGCAAGTCTACCTCTTCCAGGAGAGGGAACATGTGCTCCGTCTTTACTCTGAGAATGACCGACTGAAAATCAGGTGTGCTATCTGAATATTGGGCTGGGGCACTGGCAGTAGAAGGTGCATGGATCCCATGGATCCTTCTAGTTCTCATCCAGATCTGGAGTATTCAGAGAAGCAGCAAAGCTACACCTTCCAGGGTGGGAGTTTTCTGTTAAAGCTCTAAGAACTTAAGTAAAAAAAGAAAACAAAATCTGTGTTGTATGTTTTGGCATCTCTTTGGAGCATGACAGAAATCTGATACAACCCTCAACCTAGTTTACTTTAAAAAAACAATGGGTACTTACGATTCACTGAAGTATCTGCGAGGTTTTTATATACAGTTCATAACTGTGGAATGTAAATTCTTTACTACCATGTGTTACCAGGCTCGTGTTTGAAAAGAAGAGCGTTCCTCAGTGCCAACAGAATTGGTGTTTTTTTTATTGTGCAACATCAGGGATGTCTCAGGGAGCTCATTAAAGTATTCTCAAGAACTTGACAGTTTGGAAAGCTTGGAGATTTTAATGAGTAAGGTGGAAAGATAGTGTGTCACAATGTATTGATCCATTTCTTTACATTCCAGGGAATTGGAGGATAGGAAAAAAATTCAACATCTCCTGGCTTTAGTGGGAACAGACGTAGGAGAAGTTACATATTTTCACAAGGAGCCACCACATAAGGCAAGTTCACTTTTTCTGTGAAGCTATTTTGAGTTATTACAAGAAGATGTGTACACCAAAGGTTGACAGACCAAATCTATCCCCCAAGTCAAAAGTTGCTAAATAAGCTCAAAAAGGGGAGGAATTTGTAGCTTTATAGCAGCATCAGGCTTTAGTATAGCTGACAGATAAGTAGGAACAAACGCACTGGAGCTAGGTCCTGTTAGCATCAGCCCCTTCTACCTCCAAATTATACCTCAAGATTAACCCCCTAAATGTCAGCTAGGAGCCTAAATCCATCTGGCAAGTGGTTATTGAGAAGCTGGAGAGAAGAGCACAAAGACAGAAGGAAGTGCAGAAAATCAGTAGGTGTGATACTCCAAGATACTTGATCTTCAGAACAGCACAAGTATTATTTGGGACCTCCATAAAGGGTACAGAAGTGTTAAGGTTGCTGTTATAGTTTCCTGGGCAGGGGACTATGGAAGAACCTCCCTCTCTAGGTAATGTTGTATTACATGTTACAGAAATAATGTCAAACTGATTATGTGGCAATGCACGTGAAAAGTAGCATAGTGGAACCTACTTCTACTTTCTTGCCATACATGGCATGATTCAGATATATAGAGGATGATGGAATGTTAGGATTTCCCTTTGTGTAAGGTAAGGGGAAAAAGGCTGGATCCCTGCATTCTTTGTGATTGCTCTCCATTGTTAAAGCAGTGGAAAAATCTTGCTTTAAAATTCAAAAATATGGATATCCTTACAACTAGGCCTATTATATTCATAGGTTGCTCTGAAAGTAATGCCTCCTGTTTATTTCCATGGAAACTATAATAGATACAAAGAGTACAATAACACTGTTTGATAGAGAAGATTCTCAGCTACAAAACACTATTTTCAGCATAGTCACCACCATTAGCTTTGCATTTTCACTAGTGATGGAGGAGTCTCCATGCTGAGCTTGGAAAAATCTGCACCTGTGAAGATGACCCACTGTTTCACAGCTGCTATGACAGCATCATTGCTAGGAAGGTGTTGCCCACACAGTCCATCCTTCATCTGCCTGAGAGATGAAAGTCAGAAGGTGCCATATTCCAACTGTATAGGTGGTGCAGCAGGACAGTCCAGCCAAGATTGGCCATGTGATTCATGACCTTCAGACTGGTTTGGGGCATGGCATCATTGTATTTTAAGAGAAAGATTGTCTTTTCTGGCCTGACCCTGGAATTTCAAGCCTTCAGCTTAGTGTTGTCGTGTAGGCATCAGAGTTGATGGTTTGTTAAGGAAATCCAGAAAGATCATTCTGTCCCAAAAGACACTGCACATCACTTTACCTGTTGATCTTTTTCTTTGATGGAGAATTCACGTTGCCACTCAATGGATTGTCATTTTGACTCTAGCTCATAGTGGTGACTGCATGTCTTGTCACTAATAATGATGCGATCCAGGAAAATGTCACCTTCAGCCTTGTGTTGGTTCAATAGGTTCTGACAAACTTGTGTATCATGTTCTTTCTGTTCCCATGTGAGCATTCATGGGACCCTCTTGACACAAACTTTGTGATATTCTGATCTTGCCAGCATTGTCTCCAGTGCTTTCAAGCCAATATTCAGTTCCAACACAGTTCTCTGGTTATAATTTGCCAGTTAGCATGGATGAGCTGATTGAAACACTCTTCATTTCATGGTGTGACAGCCACATGTGGCTGTCTAGGACATGACTTGTCTTTCATGGTGCTGTCACAAGTATTGTAACACCACCTACTGTCTCATCATACTCACATTGACTGTTTGATCTCCCTTAACATTCAACAGTCATTGATGAATGTCACTGTGTGCCATTTTTTCCACATGGAGAAATTCAGTGACATACCTTTGCTTCACATGTACTTCTGTGTCAGACACCATTTTGCCAGGCTGTCCCTCTGCTGCCATCTGTTGTACAGCAACAAAATGTAACAATGTTAGTTGGAAGGTTCAACCTTGACTGCCGTATCACCACCATCTGCTTCTGATGTTGTGAACCAGCATATTAAAATAGAGGGCATTACTGTGGGAGCAGCCCTCCTAATATCTGCGTTGAGATAAACATTGGGGTTATAACCTGTCCCCTTCTGGCCTCCTATTTTTAAGTGGCCTTCTGTTCAACAGATGGTTTATGTTAATAGCTGCATGGGCTCTTATCCCAGGCTTGTTTAATAGCTTGAGTGAATGTGCTGATAAATGGTTCTTCGTGTTTCTTTGGGCTGCTAAGAGGAGTATGAGCAAAGAAAGTAACATAATTGTAATTTTCACCTTCTTTATTCTTGTCTGCCCCCGAAATGTTCTTTTTCCTTCTGAAGATGCTGATTTTCATCTTGGTGAAGCCAGCAAAGGATGGATCATTTTCCAGTTGATTTGGAAAAAAATAGAAGCTGAAATAGCAAAATTCTGCTGTTATAAAGGCAATTTCTTTATACTGTAGGCATTACACTTGTGAATGTCTTCCTTTTCTTGTGGTAAAGGTGAGATATTACCATTGTCTTAGATATCTCAGTTCTCTCTTTAAGATTTATTCTTAGTCATGGCAAATCAAGATGTTGAGCTATCTACTCTTGTTTCTATAGGTTACTGTTCTACAAAGGCCAGTTAGATCCAGAGACTCACATGAAGGAAATGACAATTCCAGAACAGGTATCATACCAAGATGGTCTAACAGCAGCTTAACAATTGATACTTGTTTCTCTGTGGTTTGTCCAATGTACGAAAATAATTATTTACTTTGAATACTTTGTTGTGCTTCCATTAAGTTTCCTAAATGTATCCATGTGTGCATCCTTATGTATATTCTACTCTATGCTTCACTTCAAAATCCTTTAAAATAAACTGAGCTGGCTCTTGTGCTTGTGATCTGCTCAGCTAGGGAAGAAGCTGGTATGACTGTGGAATGGCTGTTCTGGAACTGTGCAGTTAGTGACTGAATAGCCCCCCATATCCATTCCATGATGTGGTGCTCTGCTTGCATTTAAATGTAGGTGGTAGTTTGGATCTGTGTCTACTTGCAGATTTTCTATTTGGAAAGGACTGCTATTTCCAAATTGACTGAAATGAGCTAACAAGCTCAAAACTTGTTCAAGATTTGACAAACGTGCAGCTGTTTTTTATGCTTATTCATCATTTATTTAAGAAAATATGGTATGTTTGCTTTTTGTATGTGTCAAGAAAATCAGTACGTTGCCTAAATATTTAAGTTTGATAGTATGGCACAAAGAAATACAGTCTCTACAAGCTCTGGAACGGTTTTCTATCCAGTTCTCTCTCCCGTAAGTCCTTGAGACTGTAGCAGCTGCAAGCTTTTTCCTATTCTTGTAAGCCATCTAGCACATACAGTATCTTGTGTTTGGAAAGGTACTGCAGGTATGTTGGAGAAGACTTTTCTACTTGTTGATTTCTGCAAATAGGCACCAAGAGGAGCACTTCAAAACAAGCAGGAAAAGGAGACATACATGAAAGTCCTGAGAGATATCAGAAAGACAACCAAACACTTCTACTTCAGGTAAAACTATTTGCTAACTGAAGGACATATTTTCTGCCCATTCAGGAAATTGATGGATAAATATGCTGTCTGCCTACATAAGATATATGCACACCAGTTTTATTGGTCCCCTCCTCTTACTACTGATTCCCACTTTCTATCAATTTGCCTCTTTCTTTGTGATGAATAGCTTAGATTTAAGAACTTGGGTCTGACTCTGGGAGCTTTACATAAGCAGATGTTCCAGTAAAGCCTACTTGTATGTAGTGCCTTTAAAGACAGAATTTGTAATTGAAGTTTTTCTCAAATAATACATAAAATGTTTTTCAATTACTTGTTCCAGTTTGTCTCCCTGACCATGTGCACTCTTTGCATCTCTCTTCTTCACTCGTTTTGTTTACATTTAATATTTCATTGAGCAATTTCTTTTTCTTCAAGATGTGTGGACTGGTTGCTTTTCTAGAATTTGGGTTAATGATTACCATTTCATTGGAAGCTGATAGCATAGAGGCAGAAAACTGTTTGCATATTCCAAAGGATTTGTCACATCCTGCGTGCAGTTTAAATCTTTCTGGTATCTTTTATCTATTGCTGCTGTTTATAGTTTTCCCGTCTTGCTTATTTGTGTGATTTTTTTTTTCTTAAAATCTTTTAGTTATTCAAAATAGTTCACATCAAAACAAAAACTAAAAATGAAAAATTAAACTTCTAAAGGTTATTATCAGCTAGAGTCTGTGACTTGAATTCTGGAATTTTAAAGACACTTGGAAGGTAAGAAGCACTGCCTGTTGTGAGATCTTCCGTAGCAAATATTTGCCTGCCTATTTAGGTGGAGGCCCTGCAAGCTCAGATAGAAGAACAGACACGATTATCCAAGGAACAGCTTCAGGCATTACTAGAGGACAGGCGGATTCACATGGAAGAAGCCCAGGTCCAGCATCAGAGAGACCAGGACAAGATTAAAACTTTAACAGATAAGTGAGTGTGAGAGAATGTCATGATGTAATGTAGTCATGAGATTAGAAGAGGGGGAACAACAAAACCATGTTGGCTTTCAATATGTTGCTTGCTGCAGCAAGCAGAGAAGCACATTGTGCAGTCATTGACTTTGGCAGTATGTGGAAGTAGATGGAGCAGTGAACATACCAAAAAAATCTGTTCTGTATAGTATATCTTTCATGAGATGAGAAGAGTTAAGTATGCTGGGAAAATGCTTGTCTTTTTGTTGTCTGCTTTCTTCTGACTTGCAACAAAGACTGGGGCAATTAGGGTAGGAACTAGGGAGGAAATGAACTAAATCCTCTTGGATCTCTTTTTACAGACTCAACAAGACTCAAAATCTCTTATATGAGAGTACTCGTGACTTTCTCCAGCTGAAATCTGATGTTCGAGCCAGTGAGAAAGCGTGGATGGTAGAGAAGGAAAATCTGTTGAGGAAGATTGACAAAGACTCAGATCAGCTTATCGGCAGGGAGGCAGGAGAGAAGAAGCAGAGAGATACCAGGAAGGTGCTTCAAGCAGATCGTGAAGCTGGGAAGCCCCACAGTAGAGAAGTAAAGGTAATTATTATTTTTTTTGTCCCGAGGAGACAGCGATCTTTTCAAAATTGCAAGACTGGTTCTTGCCGAGTTAAGCAGTAAGTAGTTGTTTCAAAGGTGTACTGGCTTGTTCTAAGTTGCATTGTTGCTGACACTAGTGTGTTTAAAAATACTGAATGCAACAACTGTCCTGTCTTAGTGTTGTTTTTGAATTTCAGGTAGAATATATGGTTAGGATTTATGGTAGTGTTTCACTATTGTTTTTTCTTACACCTAATGCAGTTCTCTACTTCTGCAAAACACATGATGTGTAGGCCAGCAGTTCCTTACTTGCCTGTTGCACTTTTTTTTTTTATAAATGCTTTCAGTTAATGGGCTTAGAATGTGATGTCTGATTTTGTCCACATTGTCAGAAGTGAACAGTCCTTTCAGTTGGTGTTCCTTAGCTCTTTTATAGTAGTCAGGATTTTCCTTCCACTTCTAATACGCTTCCAGTGCACACTTGAGAGATCTGAAGTGGGCAAAGAGGCAGTAAGAATGTAGAAAATAAAACAATCCCTTACTGCCTGTTTCATCTATGCTGAATGCAGATTCTTCTGAAATGCAGTACTGAGCAAGTAGCTGTGAAAAGGAGAACTGCAGTACTATGATAGAATATTATGTTTAAGGGAAAGAGGAGAGAGTTCTTTTGAACTGTCATGCAGAACCGATCACCTCATTAAAAGGTGTTGGTAATGGAAGTGGCATTATAATATTGTGGAAGGAGTCCTAACCTAGTTACTTCATTAGCTTTGGTTTCAGTTATTATTTGCCTGTCAGGCTATCTACATGTAGCACTTGTTTTTCTAGAGCAGGGGAAACATTGTGAGCATTGGCTTTGGAGTTGTTTCTGTTCCTTCTGTGTCTTAGGCGCTGCAAGAAGAACTAATGCAGGAGCAGCGGCTATCAAACATGTACAGAGAACAGTGTATCACCCTGGAAAGTGAGCTGGCTAGGATTTGTGAAGAGAGAGATGTTGGCAGAGAACTCTTTAAGGTAATTAGTCTGTAATCATCTACCAGCAACGCGATGATCTTACAGTCTCTATTCTGTTACTCCATCAAATTTTTATCTCTATAGGAACGCTCAGAAAAGATGGGGAAGCGCCTGAAGCTGGTGACTCAGCGATACGAGGCCTTGGAAAAACGTCGTAATATGGAAGTGGAAGGCTTTAAGAATGACATTAAACAGCTTCGGCAGAAACTGAAAGATGTAGAGAAGCAGCTTTTTAAGGTAATAGCTCATTGCTAATTGCTATGAGCTTAACCAATCAAGGTGTAGCCTCAGTATTTAAATTAATATTTCCCTAGAGTTAAAATAAATTTATTTCCTAAGTGGTTGTTCGAATATTAATATTTGATGAAGCTTGCCCTCTTTTATATTATTAAGCAAAAAAGATTTGTCATCATTAATTGGTCAAGCATCAAGTTTGTCCAGGAACAGTCCTGTTGATGTATTAGCTATGAAGGTTCTCATAGAATCATAGAATGGCCTGGGTTGAAAAGGACCACAATGATCGTCTATTTTCAACCCCCCTGCTATGTGCAGGGTCGCCAGCCACCAGACCAGGCTGCCCAGAGCCACATCCAGCCTGGCCTTGAATGTCTCCAGGGATGGGGCATCCACAGCCTCCTTGGGCAACCTGTTCCAGTGTGTCACCACCCTCTGTGTGGAAAAACTTCCTCCTAATATCTAGCCTAAACCTCCCCTGTCTCAGTTTAAGACTATTCCCCCTTGTCCTATCACTACCCACCCTCATAAACAGTCATTCCCCCTCCTATTTAAATGTTCCCTTCAAGTACTGGAAGGCCACAATGAGGTCTCCCCAGAGCCTTCTCTTCTCCTTCCACAATCTTGTAATGCCTTTATTATGCCTTATTACAACTTTGGCTCACTCAGCAGACTCAAAATTGGAAAGCAGTAAAGTGGACTGATGCAAAAGAATGTTCTGCAAAGAATATGCTGTTTTGCTGTACTTTTTCGGGATGCTATAGGGTTTGGTTTTGTTCCAAATAGAATATTGATGGAATATTGATGTAAGTATTGTGAATATTGTTTATTTTGTAAATATATCATTTGCAATAGTGCAGAAATCACAGCAGAAACAATGACTGGAGGTTGAGGTTGTGTAACTTTGAAATAAAATGCACCTTCTAGATGTGCGGACAAACTTCTGTACAGCTTAGAAACGAAGCCCCAGACTTCTGGAGTTTGAGTTGTGATACCTAAGATATGATTCAGAGAATTGAGGCTTGGATTTTTTTATATTTTTTTTTTTACTGTGGGTTTACCTATTTTTCTTTTTAAGAGCTAAACTTCCCACATACATGAGTGTGAGAGACAGGAATTGCCTATGATATCTTTACTACAGACCTGTGTATTTTGTTACTGTGGGTATGCTTAGTCGTGTTCATAATCTCTTTACGCTTCCAACCACAAGAGGGCAGCAGAATAAAATACTTGTTAGAAATCTTTTCTGATCTTTAAATCCTTCTTATTACTTGAGGTCAAAATGACTATCCATGCCTGAATGACCTAACCTGTGTATTAAAATCTTTGACAAAGAACTACATGGTGGCAGTGAGACATCCTAAAATGTTAAGAGGAAAGAGGGCTTTATGATCAGTTTTCAAGTCTGTGCTGTTGCAGTGTTGAATGTGACTGGGTTGGCATGCTATTCAATTCCAGGGTGACAGGAAAATGTCAACCCTTTCTAGTTTGCCATCAGGAACTATGATTATCCAACAGCTTCAGTTCAGCACGATATCAGCTATATGCCTTGACCTGAGCTTAGGAGTTGTTCTTGAGCTGCCCTTGAATTGTATGCAGTTCAGAAGGCAGCAAGCTGGCCACAGCAGTTAGATCACTTCTAGTTCTAATAGCAGAAGATGATGAAATGTCTTCATAGGAGGTGAAAAACATACTGCTATGTAAACATCGATAGGTAAGTGTTTCAGCTTGCCTCATTTTATTCTCTAAATAATGCAGGCAGTGAAAAGTAACCCAACGGATTATAGTAAACTTGATAATATTCTGTTCAGATTTCTTCCTTACCAGTACTGTAGCATCCTAAGGAATGAAAGGCTTTGCTACTTTTTGGCTCTGAAATAACTTTCTGCTGGTGATATGCATTAGCCTACTGACATTACCTGAAGCATCCTCTTTGCTAGCTACAAAGGGTCTCCTTTAGAGTTCTCTTTCTCATTTACTCATAGTACGCTCTCAATTGCATTCTGTGTGATTAATCTGATTTTTTTTTCTTCTTAGGTGACTCTGAATATTGGATCAGACCAGGATCTTGCAATTCTACATGAGGTTCGTCAAGGAAACAGACTAACTCGTAAAATTCAAGAAGAATTAAAATACTTAAAAGCAAAAATCTATGGCTTAGAGAATGAACTACGAGTCTGCTGAAACTGAGGCTTTAGTTGGCATCAAAGTTTTAGGAATGGGACATTGCCTGTTTACTGGCATCCAGTAACAGAAGGCTTGAAGAAATCTGCAGCTAGGAATGTCATAACATCCATCAGTGACACACAAACCATTCCTAACGTGCCAAATTAGGTTGCTGTGTCTGTTGATAGGCACTGATGAGTCTGCTACAGAAAGTATCAGAAGACTGATATATCAGGAATATTCTTATGACTTTTTATTACTTTCATATTTGTGGTGTGTACTGATCTTAAACTTCATTTGGAGCATATTAGAAAGCAGGAATATAAATTAATGACCATTAAAGGATCTAGATCAAGATCTGAATTGCTTGGCTCACCTTTTCCTATGTGAGAAAGAGCTTTTAAAGTGTGTTCAATGATGACTGTTTTGGTACCTAGGCAATTCAGGATGTAACTGAAAATTTTCTTTGAAAATGACCTTGCACAGAAATTTTGTACTAAAATGTATTATATCCAACTCTACCTTTTACAATATAACATCAGGTCATTGCAGTTGTAGAAAACAGATGAATTAATGAGGGATGTTACAGTGTGCTTCAGCCCAGTTTGTAATCACAAGGTATTTGTGCTTTCACTGCAGTGTCAGCAAATCTTGTCCACCAGACTGAGAGTATTTCCTACTGTACCTTTTCTACCTTGTTAAATGTGGCAGAAACAGCATAATATCTTTCTAAAGTATACACCTAAAGCATACAAGCTGTTCTCATTTAAAAAATACTCCATGTGATAGCCCACAGCTTCTTTTGGATGTGGTAGTGGCAACAGAGATCCCTATTCAGTGTTTGGGAGAGGTGGATACATAACAGAAGTCCTTGTGCTGTCAAAATTTGGAGAAATAGATATAATTTTAATATAGTACCAGCTAAAACAATGCAGTGGGGAAATTGCTTTGAAAAGTCAAGGCCTGCTTCAGTTTTGTACCCTCTCTTGGAAATCTTGCTGTCCCTTATGGTTTGTGGTTTTCATTGGGCACATGTATTCTTGAAGTCATATTCATCACAGACAGACTTCATTGTGGGTAGATCTGTATCTGAGTGCTTAGCCACTACTAAAATAGGCTCTTTTAAAGTGTGTTATCACTGACTAGTTTAGCTGATAAATGATTAACCAGTTCAGAAATTGATTCATGGACAGCTTAGATGTGGATAGCTGGGGGAAGTTTATAAACTATGCTGTCCATAATTTAGTCTCGCCTCTTAGCTGCAGAGTACTATCTCAGATAAGTCTAGCTAATTAAAGGAAGCTTGTATGTGAGATAATATTCTACCAGTCTAAAGACAGAATGCAAAAAAGTATGTATCTTACAGGTCCTGAAAAGCAATTTCTGAAAAAATGCTATATAATAAAGTATTAGCCACTTAGCAAGATCCATCTGCTTAAATTCAATTGACAGGAAGCCAGCAAAAAGGCCTCTTGAACCAGTATAAAGAAGTTTTCTGCTTGTTTTCAGCTTTGCCGAACTATAAGTTGCTGATTAAGTTTTCCTCACCTGAAAAACCATGCAGTGCATCTGGATAAAGACTGTAAGCTCGGATGTTCATATTTTTAGCATTAGGAAGAAGTACTGGGGAAAGAAGGATGTAAACGTTTAAGTTCCTGTCTTCCTTACTAATATTTCTTATTACTTGAAAGACTGAACAGAATGAACTGGCAACATTCCTAATATTTGCTGACGCTTCTGGATCAAAGTACATCTTGGACTTTATTCTTTGTTTGTCATTAGGTTATGAACCTTTTCTGTTTGAGGTGGGTAGGGGAAGAAATTACAACAGTGCTGATCTGTAAATTCATTTTATTTAGAGATTGAATGTTTGTCCAAGGGCAGGAAGTGCAGAGTATTGTGTGTGCTCTTTCTGTGTGACATCACGTGATTATGTGAAATGTTGCTTTCATGTTGCCAAAACAAATGGGGACCTTCAGGCCAAGAACTGCTTTAAAAAGTCAAATACTTTCTACCACCAGCAACTGCCTTTTAAGACATTTTTGGCATTTCCTAGAGGTTTCCTGAAAAAGATTCTGAGACCTGGGTTAGTCCATTTTCCATGATTTACTCCAAAGATGAGCTTTTTAGGCAGTTGATGTTAATGTGTGATCTGTATCATTTCAGTACAACTAAGTGCCGTGTTGTGTAGGTGCAAACAATTTGTAACATATCTCTAAAATGGCTGACTCTTGGAATATGGAGAAAGTGCAAGGATTAAGGATTGGAACTGGTCAAACAAGCTCATTGGGGACTGGGGTGCAGAAGTGTTGTACACATGGGAAATGTGAGCAGAAGTTGAAAACAAGTTGTGTAGCATTACTTAGGAGTGCATGCGTTTTAGTAAGGGTGTTGAAATATTGGGCAAGGCACAGAACTAAAGATGATTTAGCAGAGATGAAAAGGTTGTGTAAGAGCTCATACTGTATTTCATTAGGGCTGATTAATATACATGTACAGTGATGAAAAACTACCAGAGGCCTCTTTATCTTAGCGGAGAGGCTGAGCAAGAAGTAGCAGCTTGACCCTGGAGATTCAGTGTAAAAAGAAAAAAGAACACATTTGATCAGAAAGATGGTTCTTTTTCTTTCATTATGACAAACTACTTCTGGAGATAATGAATTCTCTGTCTCTGAAACAAAAAAAAAAAATAAGATTGTGCCTCTGGAAAAGATGACTTGTTCTAATAAGTTACTAGGGTTGATGTGTTAGACCGTAATGAAATATAATGATGTGAAATCACAGGAAATGATTTAATGGTCCCTTGTGCCTTTAGAGATAGGATTATTATTATTTTTTTTTTTTGTAGGCAATATTGGTAGGAGTTTTTTCTGCACTTGTTCTGCTGCTTTTATTATAGGAAAGTATACTGTGTCAGCTCACCCTGCACAGCAAGGCTACAAAAGGAGGAGAAAAGAACAACCCACGGAACCTCATGTTTTTCCTATGCCATAATTTGAGTATAATTAATCAGTGCTGTTAGAGTGGACCTAAATAATAAGAATATATGCTCACATGCAACTTAAATTGCTTGCATTTTTGTTCAGAAACTCACATTTCGCACTTTGGCACTCTTGGCACCTAATCTGGAATTGTAATGCCTCTGTACATAGGCTGGGAAATATTTCTTTGGTAAATAATGAGACACTTGTTTTTGAGACTAGTTGGGAGCAACATCCCGTGCATTTTGTTAAATCAGTTCTATGTTGAACTGATGAAAACTATGTTGGTCAGACTTTTAATTACAGCTCACGAATACGTCTAGTTTTGCTACAGTGGAATGTATTCATGCCTGCTAAGTCAAAAATCTTACTAAAGATGTCACTTCTGTCCCCATTCAAAGCAGCGTAACAGCTCCTTTGCATGTAAGGGACATTTTAAGTTTTTTCTGTTTACTATTTTTTGGTAACACTTTGCTTTCATATTCTGAAGTTGTAATAAGTGCTCACTTTGCTCCCTTAAAGAGCTGTTCTTAAACTTGCAAGTCTAGCTGTAGAAGCACACGGTTAGCATGTGTACCAAAACACACTCAGATGCTTTGGACGAGAGCTGAAAGTGCAGCAATTCCTTCTGCTGGCTACATTCATAGGATTTAGTGTAAGGAACAAAAATTGTTTCAATCTTTAGGTAGCATCAAATCTTTAGGGTTTTCTTTGAAACATGCCATAGGAATAACTTGAATTTAACCTACTGGGGGGAAATGCTTCTGGCATAAGAATAGTGGGGATGGAGTTCTGATGCTGCCCATGTAGTACCAAATTAACTATTTGCAGAAAGGATGTCTGTGAGCAGGAGTTAGTGTGGCTGTGCTTCAAGTGAGCTCCAAACACAGCTTTATTAATAAGGCCCTCAGTAGGGCTGAGCATTCACCTACACTGACTAAATTGCATGTTTTATGAATTATGGTGCTGTTGGATTGTGGACAAATTACACATGTGTAAATAGGGATTACCTGCTTTGATTCAGAAAACCTGCAGAGGCTTCCTGTGTACCAACGTTTCAATGTCAAAGCAAGGAAATCCTAACCGCTCTGTTAGAAAGGGTTTAATTGCTGAAATGGGTTCAATTTGAATAAAAAGTTCTGGATTTACCCTGGTGAAGCACATCCAGGATGTGCTGAATTCTCCTATATTGATTCAGGGATCAAATTGACTCTCTTTCACTGTAAACATTTATCTCAGCAATGAGTCACTCCCAGACTGCTCAGTAAAACACTTTCCCTTTAGCGCTAGCTTGGCTGGGGAAAGGATCAGCATCATCCCAAGGGAAGCTGTTTGGCTTTATGCTCAATGGTGTCCATAATAAAATGACTGTCGCCTATCTTCAGAGCTCCTTTGAAACATAAGTGTGATGAACATGATCACTTAAACTATAAGGCAAGTCCTGGTGTTTTTACAAAAGGAAAGGAGGGAGGTCAGAATTGTAGTTAGATTTGAAGAGAGGTGGATGTCCAAAATGATTACAGACTTAGATGCATCTCTCATTATGATAAATCCTGAAAAGTCTTTTGAAAGATCTCACCTTGGACTAGGTAATTGTATTTTTTTTTCTGGAAGTGCAGGTGTGCTGTGAATATTGAGAGAGTTATGAGGCTCAGAAGGCAGTTGAGGCCCATTCCTAGGGTAGGATGAATATCAAGGATATGATGCTCAAGGCACTAGGTTGCATTCGTGCCCAAGGTCACACCAAAATGTGTCCTCCTCGCAGCTGAGAAGGAAGGCCAGGTCGTTTCTATGCCTTTTTGTCTGCATAACTAGGGTTTGAGATGTATTAAAAGAGTAACACTGTGAAAAGATAGAAGCATGGATGAGATTTCCCACCCAGACAGCAGAGCTGCAGGAAGACAGTGTTGCTGCTGCTGCTGCTGTCAGTCACACCTGGGCTGTCACCTGCAACTTAACTGGTCAAAAAGATGCTTTTGCCAAGAGTTTAACTGAGGAACCAGTGGATTCTGCTACTGTGTTGCAAAGCATCAGCATGGATTTTACCAGCATAGCCCATCAGCAACATGTTTATAGAGTCTGGTACCAAAAAGCCAAGAGGGGAAATAATAGGCAACAGCATCTTCAGAACTGCCTTTTCTGCTAGAAGCACTTCAGCCATTTCAGGTACAGATGTTGAGATGAAGTCAGGAATTGTGCTTGAGAGCATGGCTATGGGCAGGAGGGGGGCCCTGCAGTTACTGGGGTTAGTGATGGTAAGGGATGCTTGGGTACTCGGTGTGGGGCTGGTAATTGGTGTTAACGTGAAAGTTACATGAGAAGAAAAAAGAGAAGGAGCAAGAGGCAGATAATTGAACCTTTGGGGAGAGTGCAGAGAAAAGATGTTGGCACAGAGCTAAAAGTAACTTACAGAACAGAGAAACAGTTGTTAGATAACCAAAAGCACAGGCGTAATAGAACAAGGCAGGGATGCACAGAGATGCAGCCGGAGAGGAAGAGGAGATGCATGTCCTTAAGTGTTGTATTACTGTGGGGAAACACAGCCAAAATGGGCAATAAACAAAACCCTGAGCAAAGCACAAAATATCCTGTTGGCTGAACTGGTGGATGCTCATTGAGAATGCCCAGCGTGAAGAGAGTGCTCTGGATAGACAGTCCTTTTGTTAGTTTCCTTTCCACTCCCCTTCATACAACCAGAGAACTGCATGCTTATTTATCTTAATATCCAAACAAGTTCCAACAGTGCAGTTGTTGGATAGGAGAAATGTCCCTCTCTAGTTCCTGTAGTCTTGGTTCAAGCCGTGTCCCAGTGGCCAGGCAGTCCTGGTGTCAACTGCCCTGTCTGGGGCTGGACAGATGGAGGATAAGTTTCTTTTTTCTAAGCACAGAATTGAGTTGGAAGGGACCTTTATAGGCCATCTGGTCCAACCCCCCTGCAATGAACAGGGACACCCACGGGTAGATCAGGTTGCTCAGCCTTGTCCAGCCTGACCTTGGGTGTCTCTGGAGATGGGGCATCCACCACCTCTCTGGGCAACCTGCTCCAGTGCCTCATCACTCTGACTGTGAAAAGCTTCTTATATCCAATCTAAATCTTCCCTCTTCCAGTTTAAAACCATTTCCCCTAGTCCAGTCACAATAGACACTGCTAAAGAGTCAGTGCCTTCTTTCTTATAGTCCCCCTTTAGATACTTTCAGGTCTCCTTGGAGCCTTCTCCATGCTGAACAAACCCAGCTCTCAGCCTGTCCTCATATCTGTCCTCATAGGAGAGGTGTTCCATCCTTGGGATCGTTTTTGTGGCCCTCCTCTGGACGCACTCCATCAGGTCCCTGTCTGTCCTGTACCGAGTCCACATCTGGACGCAGTGCTCCAGTGCGGTCTCAGCAGCGCAGAGCAAAGGGGCAGGTCAGCACCTCCTAGAGATGTCAGATATCTCCCCCCAACTCCGTGCCGGAGGGTGCGGACCCTCCCGGGCGGAGGCGGCGACCCGAGGCCGGGCAGCGCTGCGGAGCCGCGGGGAGGAGGCAGGTGCGGGGAGCGGCGGCAGAGCCC